ATAAAAAGTTAGTTTGATAAAGATTAGTATGTTGTGCTTTTGATTCAGTCTTTCTCGGATAAACTACAGTCACTCAAGAAAGCTGTTAATATAAAGAACTCAGTTTTTACTGTCCTACAAGTCCAGGGCTCCCGCATCCTGCCACAGACATGCACCTAAATGACTACATCTTTTTCTTTGCTTTATTTTATGCTGCATTTGAAAGAGAGTCTCTCTGTGTAACCCACTAGAACTCATGATGGTCCTGCTTCAGCCTCTTAAGTACTGAGATAACGGGCCTAAGGCATCACTCTCAGAGAGATATCTTTTATTTCACTAATGCTGAGCAGAAATATAAGAAAGCTACATGCAAATAAACAAAACAAAAAACAAACCATGCTTTGTGTAACATGTTTATGAAAATTAGCTTGAAAAGAAATTTTTGCAATTTGAATATCAAACTTATCTGGCCAGTTTATTATTTAAAAGAGTTTCTTGGTAATCATTTTTATACAAAGTAAAGGTTGTTATTAAAAGCAATCTTTATCCACAATACAGGAATGCTAGCTACCTGGAGGCATGTAACCTTTAAAACAAGGCCCACCAAAGCAACACACACATGCATAGCTTCCTCCAGTCTTGAGTAATTTCTTAGCCATCACTGGCTCTGATCCCTGTTCTCAAGGTCTAGTGGCTGGGATTTGATGTTTCCTATGGTTCCTCTAGCTTTAGAACTCAGTCTATTAGAGAAGCACAGCACAGTCTTTAATGACCTCCTGTCTTGACTCAACACCTCTCTTCACACTCCTTCTTGAGTCCTTTCCTTCTTCCTGACCTGGCTATTTTTCTGTTAGAAATGAGACGATGAAACCACCCTGCCTCTTTCACAGACCTCAGTGACCTCCCTTGTATTTCCCTTTTCCGTTCCCATTTCTTTGTTACCTCTGTTCAATTCATTTGTTTCCTAAGCCTAGATTTTTATATATTTCAATTTCTTTTTCAAATTTGAAAATCACTTAGTCTTATTTTTAGGTGCTCTATTTGAAGAAAGCAGAAAAACAAAACAAACAAACAAAAAGCAAGGAAAGTAGCTCAGTTTAGCACAGTGGTTCTCACAGTCTGGGACTCTGTCAGCCCACAGCAACTGAATCAAAACTCTGGGGGTGGGTCCAGAACACACTCTCTGTCTCTCCTAAGTATGTATGTAAATATATAGTTATAAATAAATAAGTTTATTTATTTACTTTGTGTGTGTGTGTGTGTGTGTGTGTGTGTGTGTGTGTGTGTGTGTGTGTGTGTTCTTTTTTTGTTTTGTTTTTTAAAGAGACAGGGTTTCTCTGTGTAGCTCTGGCTGTCCTGGAACTCACTCTGTAGACCAGGCTGGCCAGGAACTATTAGTCATCTGCCTGCCTCTGCCTCCTAAGTGCTGGGATTCAAGGTGTGCACCACCACCGCCTGGCCTAGAACTCTATCTTTTAATAAATCCTCTGGGTGATTTTTATGAACAATAAAATTTAAGAGCAGCTGATCTAGAAAGTATCTGGCATGCTTGAGTAAGATGAAGTGTTCTAGTTTCCCTTTCTACTGCTGTGACAGGCTTCCATTTGCATAACATAGTCCATCAGGGAAGTCAGGGCAGGAATTCAAGCAAGAACTTGAAGCAGAGATCATGGAGGATGGCTACTTGCTGGCTCCCTCACAGGCTCATGCTTAGCTAGCCTTCTTATACAGGACCACCTGCCTAGGTAAGGTGGTACCCCAAGTGGGCTGGACCCTCCAGCATCAATTACCAATCAAGACAACCCCCCTCACAGACAAGCTCACAGGTCAATTTGATCCAGGCAATTCCCTAATGGAGACTTGCCTCCCAGATGACACTAGGCTATATCAAGTTGACATTTAAAGCTAACCAGAACCTGAATCTTATCAATAGGAGAAACTAACGTTCTTCTTCTTCTTTTTTTTCCCCCAAGACAGGGTTTCTCTGTGTAGTTTTTGGTGCTTGTCCTGCATCTTGTTCTGTAGACCAGGCTGGCCATGAACTCACAGAGATCCGCCTGGCTCTGCCTCCTGATTGCTGGGATTAAAGGTGTGTGCCACCACCACCCATTATAACTAACATTCTATCTGTCAACACAGAAGAGTATCTAGAATATTCTGCATAATGAAAAAGGCAACATAAAACCATAGGCACAGTATAATTTTTGCAAAAAAAAAATTTAAATCCAAAAAATATCTAGAAGCTTATACACCAAACTGTCAATAACTGTAACTAATTTGAGGGGAATTCATTCTAGCTTTCCTTTATGAATATCTATATTTATCTACAAGCATATATTGCTTCTTAATTATAGAAAACAGTTAATATAGGCATCTTCCATTGCTCTTTAGCAAAACACACAGTTAATGTGAATTCAGGGGCTGGAGAGATGGCTCAGCTATTAAGAGCACTGGCTGCTCTTCCAAAAGACCTAAGTTTGATTCCCAGCACCCATATGGCAGCTCAGTCCCTCCATGAACATAGCATGCATGGAGTGCACAGACATACATGTTGACAGAGTCCCATACATAATAAATAAATAATTTTATTTATATAAATATAAATAAATAACTATAACTATATATAGTTTTTTAGAGTGAATTCAGTTGGCAGTAGACTTCACTGTCTGGACAATCAAGTTTTGTGATGCATTAGGGGTTCTAGAGGAAGTGAGGCAGAGATAGTGCTCAGTCCCTACAATTCAATCAGTGTCTCTATGTAAAGCAACTGTATCCCAAAATGACAAATCAGAAAGCCTGAGCTAGTCTGCCCTTCTTAAATAAGCCAATCAAAAAGGGGATGGTAGGGTACTGGAGGATAACAGGACAGACAGAAACTTAAGGGCACTTTTGGAAGATAACTGATTTCTGAGAACATTTTTTACAAAAAGTTTCTATTAAAAGTGTCCTGTTTTTCTCCCTTCTTCCTGATCTGGCAATCACTCCACACTTACATTCACTCCTTCTCAAGCCAGCTCCATATACACTCAAGCAAATTCATCCTGTAGACTAAAAGGCTTGAAGGTAAAGGGGTGGACCCAAACCTAAGATCAAGTCAGGTCCTTAGAGCCATCTTTTAGCTTATATTAGGGCAGTGGTTCTCAACCTTCCTAATGCTGCAACCCTTGAAAATAGTTAATCATGTTGCAGTGACCCCCAACCATAAAATCATTTTCATTGCTACTTCATAACTGTAATTTTGCTACTGTTATGAATCATAATGTAAATATCTGATATGCAGGGCATCTGATATGTGACCCCTGTGAAAGGGTCACTTGACCCGGCAAAGGGATTGACCCCCAGGTTGTGAACAGCTGCATTAGGGAACACTTTAGCTGGACTTTTCTCCTCTGTGGCAAGTTTCTCAAAGAAGCACTGTCTGTATTCATAAAGGAGGCTAAAGTCTGTATCATCAATCCCCTGTTACTGCTTTGCTAATCACAAACATGCAGGTATGGCAGAGACAGAAAATACAGTTCGTTTCCTGCAATATATCGGTTACACACAAAACCAAAGAAACTTTTCAAGGTGTTAGTTTTCAGTTACCTTTAGTACTAAATTGGTTCAGCTTTATCAATGGAAAAATAGCAGGAGTCCTCCTATTCTAGGTAAAAGAGTTGTTAAAGTTATATAACCTTTTTTTCTATCTAGATGCTCACTACTGCTAGAACCTTACCTGTTCAAAAAGAGAGGAGATACTACTAATGTCAATATTTTCAGTGTCATATGAAAAGAAAACTACTGATGGCTGCAGTTACCTATAGAGTCCATTGCTGCCAATGGCTCTGCTTCACTGCGGCGTTCAAAAACCGTGATTACACAGCACAACCACTGCTTGGTTTGCAGTGAGACTGAACACAAAGGCACTAGAGTCATTTGACTCGAATCTCCACAATATACCAGACTTGGAGCAAATAACTCTACTGTCCTTAAAATAAAATAAATTAAACTGGGATAAGGAACCACTTCACAGGGGTTTGCAATAATCAAAAATATGGAAAGGGAGGGAGAATGAGGTGCTGTGTTGAAGAGGGAAAGAGTTTTAGTTTGGGACAATGAAAATATGCTAGAGATAGACAGTGATGATGGCTGCATAGCACTCTAAGTGAACTTGATGCTATTGAAATATACATTTTAAATGGTTAAATTGTTATATATTTTATCACAACTATGTAAGATCCCGAGTGTAGGACCTGGCTCTCAGGTACTCTTATTTGATAAAGAAATTGTGAGAAAAAAAAAAAAAAGGAAAAAGGAGAGACATAAAAATAAAAGCATGTTCCTTTCCCTACTTACCTATGAGAGGCTCTTTTCCAACAAAGCCATCTAGTCCCAATACCGGGCAGTGCTGCTATAGTAAGTGTCTCAGTAAGAAGAAGGGAATCTATTAGTCACAATCCCTCCTGCACATTCAGCTCCCAGCCCACCACCTCCACTCGCACCTCCACTCGAGTTTGACATCTCCCAGAATATCAATCCTTCAGCTCCCCAAATCTTGAAAGAAGCTGGGATGCTCTGGTCAATCATTTCCTCGACTAGACTCTAGGTAACAAGGACAATGGCATGCTCAGAGGCAGCTGCCTCCTGTAAGCTAGGGTTGACAAGGCATATTAGTACTGTGCACCAAATGGCTAGGTATCCAGGGACCAGAATTATGCTGATGAGTATCTCAGATGCCTTTGGGTAGATCTAAGGGACACAGAGGACAGAAGTCTCAAAGGTCTCGTAAGAAAAAATTAAAAAAGCACTTCTCTGCAATTCAGAAAAAAACAATTAATGATTATATGTTATAAGTCATAAAATAGACAAGGGGAAATAGATGACTTTTCCCCAGGCATATGAGAAGACTGTTTTTGACGTGAGGCTTAATTGAATCTAAATAGAAAGTACAGATAGATGATCATTAACACTCCCTGTACTCAGATCAAGGAGAACAAATGCTTGAGGTACCAACACCCAGTTAATTCCAAAACAATACTTACTTTAGGGTCTGAGCTCTTGAACTTTAACCTTTCCACCAACTCTATCATAGCTGCCTTCAGTCCACCCGAATCTTTGCTCTAGGAGAAAAAAAGTCAAGAGTCACTACGCAGCATATCATTGCTTTCTCAAACACAAACAGTATTTCAGAGGACAAAAAGGACAGTGAAACAGAAAACAAATTTGTCATCTGATTAGGCAAGAGGACCAAACAACTAAGGAAGGTGTGCTGTGCTGTCCCTTCCTGTCTCCATCACGGACAAGGGTTAAAGCAATAGACTGGAATGAAAATTAAACACACTTGTGGCTGGGTGTGATAGCACTTCCCTTTAATCCTAGCACTCAGGAGGAAGAGAGAGGAGGATCTCTGTGAGTTCAAAACCAGCTTAATCTACATAGTGAGTTCCAAGCCAGTCAGGCTACAAAAGGAGGAAGGAAAGAAGGAAGGAAGGAAGGAAGGAGGGAGGGAGGGAGGGAGGGAGGGAAGGAGAGAGGGAGGGGAAAGGTGAGAGGGAGGGAAAATTAAATAAATACAATTTGCACAGGATGACTTCACTGCCTCATTGCAGACCCAACTGTGCCTGCGTTCAAGACCCTACAAAGGAGAGTTCTGTCTTACGGACTACTGATTTTTACTTTGAAGCTTTATGTATCAGATACAGAAGTATACAATATCATATATACTTACAAAAATTACACATCTCAGGCTTAAATTCAAATGGAATTACCATATGCTAGTTACCAACAGAAGTGTTGAGTCAGACACATGGTTTTGAAGTTGTCTGGCACCAATTAGTTGACTAACCTAGGACAAATTATTGAATTTCTCAAAACCATCTCCTTTGACTACAAAATGGGGATAATATAAAGGGTAATATGAGGCTTAATTGAAATGTTTGCAGAAGTGTTAGCAGAGTGTACAGCACACAGTAAGTGTTCCAAAATGACACCTGCTTGTTATTATTTAGAGTAGTACAATCCAACAAAAATGTAACGTGTGCTCCCATAAAGCCTCTATGTTACCTTAAGTTTCAGAGCAGCTATAATAGGAAAGTAAGACCTCTTTTAATACATTTTACTTAATTAAGTATGTCTAAAATATCAGCAACATATAATTTCAATATGAGATCTTACCTATTAGCCTCTGACCTTTGTCTGCTCTGGCCCATTTCTTCTCTTGGGAATCCTTTCTTTCTTAATAAATTACCTCTTCTACCACTCACAAACACACACACACACACACACACACACACACACACACACACACACACACACACACCAGGGCTGGGGTGGGGGGCAGAAGGAGAGGGAGGAGGCAGAGATAGAGGGAGGGGGAGAGAGTCTTATGATTCCCACTCACCCCCAACTAGGTCTTTGAAATCTAGTTCTTATTCATACAGCCCAATTCAACCTGGACTAGGCACATTTCATGTTACATGTGGCTATGACCACTGCAGAGGTCAGCACAGAATACAGACCCTTACTGCCTGGTTTCAAATGCCAACTCTAATAGTCCTACCTTCTGCATCTCTAAATCTGTCTATAAAACGAAGCTAGTAATAGTAGTGCCCATTGCATACAGCTGAGAGAGATAATTGTGTTCATGTAGGCCAGGAGAGTTAGAAGAGGACCTAGCACTGGATAAAAAGAATGAAACACACATTTAATTAGTATTTTTGTCTGTTTTCTTTGTGATGTTTTGAGTTCCTTAAAGGATAGAACTCTCCTTTAATGTCTGTATCTCCTACACCCTGCATCAAGAAGGTGGTGCTTTACCAGGGCTAGAATAATGGCTCAGCAGGTAAAGGCACTGTCATTCCAATGGTTTCGAGTCCAATGACCTGAGCTCAATTCCTGGTACCCACACAAAGGTGGAAGGAGAAACTGGTTCCACAAACTTGTTCTCTGACCTTCACACATGCACAGCCATGCATGCCTACAAATATTCTTTCTCTCTGAAAAATTTTAAGACATATAAGGCAGTCTTAAAAACAAACAAAGGTGTAAAATGTCCACTGAATGAACAAGTGGATATAAAATCTTAAGAAACACTCTCGTTATGTAATTCATGCATGGAGCAAGATCTAAAGTTGCAAGAACTAATTTATTTCCTTATCCCAGAAATTCTATGAGCAAGGACAGGACCACTTATTTTACCAGTAAGGAAACAAGCATAAAGACAAGAATTGTCATTTTATGGGACAAGGGACAAGTAAGAAGTACAAGAATAAACAAATACTACAAAAGTCACTTACTCAAAATCAACATCAAGAGCAATCACAGGACAGTCTCTAAATCTACAAAGCTAATTCAAGTCCTCCCAAACAGGAAATACTTCGTAAGACTCTTAGTTAGGATTTCTATTACTGTGAAGAGACACCATGACCATGGCAATTCTTATAAAGAAAAACATTTAATTGAGGTGGCAGCTTACAGTTTCAGGGGCTTAGTCCATTATCATCATGACATCAAGAGCATGGCAACTAGTAGTATGGTGGCATGCAGACAGACATGGTGCTGGCTATATCTTGATCAGAACTGAAACACTGGGTGGTATCTTGAGCATAGGAAACCTCAAAGCCTGCCCCCACAGTGACACACCTCCTTCAATAAGGCCATACCTACTCCAGCAAAGTCACACCTCCTAATGGTGCTACACCCTATGAACCATGGAGGCCAATTACATTCAAACTACCACCGACTCCATTCCATAAATTAAAATATACTAAAATCTGTCTTCTCCCACTAACTTTCCTCCCTTCCTAAGACTACAAGTAGAAAGTACCATATGACCATATGTACTCTCTGAACACAACTCAGATCACATTTCCATTCTAGCTGTGGTTCTAAAGTTTAGTCATTTCTATTTTTTAAGTTGTGGCTTATGATTCTCCCAGTTTCTCCAGTCTTTAATCTCTGTGGTCTCACACCTGACAGCTGGGAACAGGAATCTAGAGGTCACATACCAGGGAGGGTGAAACTTTAAAAAAGGGTTAAGTTACCAGACACAATCCTGCTTTTTACAAGATGATCAGACAAAAAAGCCTGTCTGGTGATATCATTCCTCTAACCTACTCTCATTGGCTGAACAAGCAGGTCACTTGTCCCTGGAAAGCTCTCCCCCTCCCCAACACAGACACAGACACATGCACCCCTCAGCTGTCAGCACCCACTATAAGCTATTCAGCAAGAGCCCTGATGGATTATGACTTTCCCTCTGGCTGTAGAAAACAGAAAGGAATGCACTAAACTATGTCTTAAAAGCCTTCAGAAACAAAGAATGAAGGAGGAATCCCTAAGCAGCAAACAGACTTTTTGCAGACAGCTGTGCCTTGCTAACATAAAGAGATGAGGAAACCCTTTGCCTTTTCCTAAAAATGCATTTCATCAGCAGAATATTTCCTCCTGTTCACAAAACATCAAAAGCATCACCTACCCAGGGGAGACACAGGGCAGCACCAAGAGAGTCTCCCTTCAGGAAATCATACAGTCTACCTCTCTCTCCAGCCAACTCAGTTATCCTCAAACATTAATCGGGCTTTATATTGAGCCTGCTATGTTTACCCTCAAAACAAGTATGAAGAAAAGCCTCCCTAATACCACCATCACCAAGAATGAAAACAGAATGTTTCTTTAGGACAGATCTGTCTCTGACAAGTTTTAGAATTGATGCAAAACTACAAAAGGAAGATCCTGGTGCAAGTTCACCCCACCCACAACCCCTGTATTCTCCACATCTACACTCTAGAGAGCCTTATGCATAGGTGTTCAATTGAGTATGCAAGCTCTGCAAACACCTTCTCAAACAGTCTCTATGGCCACACCTGCAACCTAGGGATAAATACATAACATGGGTAGAATTCACTGGCCTGATCCATCTTCCTACAGACAGGCTCTATAGGCCCTGGTAGTGGGCTCAAGACATTCTGTCAATTCTTGGAAAGCAGTCTGTAAGGGGACAGAAATGGTGAAAGGAAGGAACTTGGAAGACACAGGGCAGAGGCTAAGAGGTTGTTTGGGTCTAAGGGTGGAGTCTAAGTAGTCCCAATCTATAGAGCTTTATCACGTTTCTGCTCATTGTTGAGAGCAATCTAGACAATCAAAACTGATTTTTACATATACATATGCACACACACTGCTATATGTCCCCCAATGTTTCCTCTGAATCCTTTGCTCTGAGAACTGGGCAAGGACACAAAGGCAGCTAATTCCAATCTTGCAAGTATCTAGTCCCATAAATGAACAGATTCTACCATGTCATTTTGGAGCAAGTAACATGGCTGGAGAAGAAGAGGGCTTTTCCTTACATGGTACCTCCATCCCATAAAGCAATCCAGGACACAGGTCAGCATGAGCATACCTTGTTTTATGCACTTCTTTCCTCCACCAAGAGAGTGCAAAATAAACAAGTGCTGTGCTGTGACACCTATAGCTCAGAATCTGATCCACGGTCACAAAAGTCAGTTCCTAGGGTTAAGTTACAGTAAAACTAAAATGATGTCCACCTCTCAGGCAAAGCTCCAAAGCACTATCACATGCTCTTTTGCTGGTATTCCTCAATACCCTTAAAAGTACCAAATTCTCATGCTGCAGATAAAAATAGCTGGTGGAAATCAAAATAAGGAACCCAAAGGGTTTAAACACCCCTTCACTAGCATTTCACACTAACCAGAGATAATGTATTCACACTTAACAGTAGATAAAAATGGTGTTATGGAAATTAAATCATGCCTCCCAAATCACAAAACCAATCAATGGCAAAACCAGGAACAGAAAGGTAGAAATGAAGAAGATAACATGTATAAGAGAAGAGACTAATATCAACAATATATGAAAAATGTTTAAGAAATTTCTATAAATCAGTAAGCCCATAAGAAATGTGAACAAAGGATATGAACAGAAAAGGTGAAACAAGACACATACATCGAAAGACAAAAAAGATGCTCAAAGTCACTCATAATTAAGATATTATTCCTTACCCATCAAGCTGAAAAGGATGTTTTAATCTGAAGTAGCCAGTACCAAGGGGCTTTGGGGAAAATCTGTATGTTTGATTTGGAAGTATAAAGTGAAAATGCTA